TTTTCATTTGAATAGTGTGAAAAATTCCTTTTAATTCTAGTAAAAATTACTTCTGTAACATTTATTAGGTAAATATTTATAAATATATTTATAAATTCCTGTTGCAAAGCTCACTACTAGTGTTACACAAGTGCTAGGTATCCACAAAAATAGAAACCTATAGGAATTGATTCTTAATTTTTCAATGGTCATGGGTACCTCAAAGTAATTCAAAGGTCAAAGCTGTAGGCACCCCTGCATATGGAAGATGTGCGTTGACCATTACTGGGGAGGAGATTGTATATATTTGACAGAAACAAAAAAAAAGCTTACCTAGAAAAATTGCATTTAAAAAATTACAGAGGCTATGCAGTATTTGATCTGGCATTGGTAAAGAGAAGGAAAATGAAGGAAATTTAAAGTTCAAGGATGGTGAGCAAAAGAGGAGTGTACAGAAAAACAGTGGGCTATAATAAATCATCTAGTAATCATATTAGGGGCACTTGGAAAAGAATAACAGAGCAACGTTACAGGAAGTCACATTTTCAAAACTTTAAATGTTAAGGCTCAAGAGTCTGGGCATTATGGTAGAGGCAACCAAAAAGAGATGCGTGTGAGTCTTTCGGGGGCCAGGGGAGAATGCTATGGTATATATCGCCGTGTTGCCCTAAAACCTGATGCACTCAATGGTCGGGGGTCTGAAAGGTTATTGTATTTCTGGCGCTTTTGTAGCACCTCCTACATGTGATGTAAAGAGGTGTGGCCTGGTCAGAAGAGGTCAGTAAGTGAGCAGTGACCTGGAAAGATTTAGTTGTTTCCCTGGTTCCTGCCTTCACCTCTCTCTCTGCTTCTTGGATGCCATGACCTTCGGCTTTCCTCAGGCCTGTCCACCTTGCTGCGGGCCGTGAGAGGATTGAAACTTCTAAAAACGAGGCCAAAATGAACCTCTCCTTTACTTTGCTGATGTTCGGCATTATGTAACTAAGAAGGAAGTCTATGTGAGAGACTACGCCCTTCTAAACTCTACTCCATTCCAGAAAAGGAAAAATTACTAGTTTACAGGGAAGTGAGGGGAAACAAAGAGGTGGAGCACAGGGTATTTTAGGGCAGTGAAAATGTTTCACATGTTTGTATCTCTCATCACTTATAATAAAAAACAAAGAAACAGACTATCGGACCACATGACGAATAGCAATGGCACTTTATCCTCATCTATCAACAGTTAATCTAATAATTTATATGATTCCAATTGGTTATAGTAGCTTCCTAAATATTTTTTAATTGAAAATTCTATGTGTGAGTGTGTGTGTGTGTGTGTGTGTGTGTGTGTATTTAATTCACTCAGAAAGGAGAATTAAAATAATTTCAAAATATTGGGACATCATGTCTGTAGGTATTTTCAAAAAAGAAAACAGCTTATAAATATTAACATAGATTTATAAAAAAGAATTTTTATTTTATTTTATTTTATTTTTACTTTTTTTATTCTATTTTATTTTATTTTTTTTGTCTGTTTGAGACAGGGTCTCACTATGCAGTTCAGGCTGACCTTGAGCTCACTTTGTAGCCCAGGCTGGTCTCGAACTTGCAATGATCCTCCTGCTTCAGCCTCCCAAATGCTGGGATTACAGGCATGTGCCACAACACCCGGCAAAATTATTATTTTAAAAGTTATTTGGTTTTAACACACTCACTTTTAGTATCAGAATTTACTAGCCAAAATAATTTCTGTCTAGAATTCTTATCCAATTTTTATTTCTCTATTAAACTGATTTACAAATAATTGACAAAGATACATTAGCATCTATAACATACATGCATTACATTATTTTAGCACTAATTTTTCTTTTTATTAAATTAATTCTACGCTAATATAATTTTATAGCTTTGATGAATTTGCTTAGAAAAAAAGTTTACATTTAATTATCTCATTCTAAGTATTTATTATATTAAAATTTGGAATTCCTAAATAGAAGCATTTCTTTGACATTTGAAAACATGAAAATTGTTCATTACTATTTACAACATAAAAACATTATAGTAACATTTGAATCCTGAAATTTAAATAGAAGAAATATTTGATTATTAATTTTAATTATTTACTATTACATGGATGGTATAAAATATGTCTATTATTTATACAAGAAAATATCTATCTAATGAACATTATGTACCCATAATACTCCCTGTGGGTAATGAAATAATAACTGTGTCTTCCCTGAAAAAGCCAGAAATTTGATTTTCTAACATAATTTAGATTTCTAACATATTTGATTTTCTAACATAATTTAATATTCATTTTTAAAGGTAAGCCAGGCTATGTTTATAAAATACCAAACAAATATTAATGATAACAGAAGACTACATGAGTTGATTAAATGTAGAAAATGTATTTTAAGAAACACATTTTATTAAGTTTAGATTCTTATTTTTTGATATTTGAAGTTTAATGCTAAAGTAAAAAAGTGCTTTCTTAGCACAAAAAATCCACAGAAATTATTCTGAGATATTATTCTTATCTGTCCGTTGTATTTTTCACTTTCAATGAGTTATTTTCTAGTTTACTTTTTGTTAATGTCACATATAGAAACGAATACTCAGTTATTTTCTTCTTCCCTGTATTCTGTACATACTTGGTTCATTTAGTGCAGATATATTATTCCTACTGAGAATCAAATTAAATTTGATTCATGAAGTATGTTCATCTAAAAATTAAATCAGACAAACATTTTTGCTTCTAAGAGACTTTATGAAAATGAGAAGGTAAGTCTGCATCTATAGAAAAAGTGCCTTTTCCCACTGTTCGGCTGCAAACTCTTCTCTTACCTACTATGTGAACTGTAAAGCATTTGTGCTTCACAGCAAAAATGCTACTTTACAGTTTCTTAAATTTCAGTTTTAAAAGAACCTCCTCCATCAAAGTGGCAGTATTTAAATTTATGACTAATATTGTGCAAAAATATTAATTTGCTGTAATATATTTTACATCTAATCCTTTGAAATTGTATATCATAAATTAACATTTAAAACACTTAGCACTAATATAATTCCTCCTACCTTTTCTTTTTCTTATATTCATTTTGTTACTTTGTCGTTTTGCTTTGCTTTGCTTTGCTTTGCTTTGCTTTGCTTTGCTTTGCTTTGCTTTGCAGGGGATTGAGACCAGGTCCTCTTCACTAAGCTATATGCCCAATTTCTTTTTTATTTTTAAACCAGCTCTTGCTAAACTGCCAAGGCTAGCTTAATGTTATGATCCTCTTATGTCAGACTTGCAGTCTTATGACTGTAGTTCTGCACCAGCACATGAAGTGCACTCTTTTATTTCTTATTGCCTATCAAACATGGCTTTCCACAACACCACAAAAGTTTTCTTTTGGGTGTAGCTCTGATGATTCCCATTATTGTAGTGGTATATATTTTTTCTTTTCACCAACCATAGAAAACAGTGTCTTTCCTCTGGGGCCAAAATGCTAAATGTTTCTCCATATGGGATAATCTTTCAGGTCATTTATGATAGGAATATTGTAAGATAACTGGGAAATTCTAAACTTATACTCTATAAATGCTTTCCAAATCTATTTTCTACCTTCTTCCACCTGAAACTATGGTCATGTTCACTTCATATATGCTGAATATTTATACTTATGTGGAACCATGATATACAGACTCTGGAAATAACCACTGAAATATTATTCTCACTATTCTTAGCTTCTTATAAAGAACACATCAATGTGTTTAATTTTCTCTAATTTCAGTGTGAACTGTTGCTATACGGCCTCTGCCCAACCTCCATTTTATCTCTGGGAGATGTTCTTTGTCTTAAAGGAACATTTAGCATTATCATCAGTTACTTTTAAGTAACTCACAAACTTTAATGATGGTATGGTAGATGTTAGAAAAAATAATCTAAATTGATCTACTTTCTTCCCTATAGATTATACTCACTTATTTTGCTTTTTTGTGATTCAGGTCTGAAATGGAAGGTGTAAAAAACGGAGTGTGTTGCTCTGTTGGTGGTGAAGTTGGAGACAACTTCAATTGTTTTATTTTTGTTCATTTTGGTCCCTTCTGCAACTCCTGTACCTAAAACAATGTCCACTGTGTAGTCATTGCTCAATAATATTTTTCTGAAGAAATAATGGAAAGCAAGACGCAGTGAGCGATATTGGAAAAAGTTCGAAAATTCAGCATTTTAGAATTTAATGGCATTCTATGACAAATTCTAAATGAAAGCTATTTTATCACAGACAACAAAATCAACCAAAAATCTTCATTATCTGGAAGATCAAGTAAGACTACTCAGAAGATATAACTTCCTATCTCCTACTCTTACCTACTTTATGTTACACATTTCACTTCATTCAGTTTCCTTTGGGTAAATGTTCCTAAGTACTCCACAGTATGCCTGGACCTTTCTCAGTACTAAAGTGTGTCAGGCCTACAAGTCTACTATTAGCTGTGTGACTCAGTCTCTCAAATCTCCATATAGTCATGTGCAACTTGTAATAAAGACAGTCACTATTTGACTGCTGCTCATTGGGCTGTGTGAGATTATGATCCTGGAGCATCCACTGAAGCCACACAATTAATATTGTTATTATTAATGTTAGCTAATAAAAATGAACATAATGAATGTGTTCCTGCATTTGGACAGACTTGTAACATTTTTAAAGAAATTTAAAATTATTCCATTTCTAGAAGTATAGCTGGGAAATCAAGTTAACATCTAGCAAAGTTGTTTTAATATAATCACAGTGCTTCTCCCCTACTCTAAACACACACATACACCAAGCTGCAATTCTGAATTTAATTAGGAATTTTAAGCTTATGAGATCTCCTTTATTTTCCCTCATTGTCAAGAATGACACTCAGACTAGGACTACTTTTCTCTGAATGTGATTAATACTAATGAGGGTAGATTTTGCTGCACATTTGCTGTAATTTCAGGTAATGCTGAGATGATTTGAAATGCAGATGAGATTTGCTGCTGAGGGAAGGAGGGAAGAAGAGCGTCTACTTACAGTGTATTTCTAGCACCTGCATGGCCACCTGAGGGGTGGCGTTGAGAGATTCGTGGTCTACCCTGCAGATCACTGCCACTCCATCATCGCTCCGGTCCACTCGAAAATCCAGGGTGCTGCTGACAGTGAATGTCTTACGATTTGCATCCTCTTCTTTCAAATATTTTACATCTGAAAATAAAATACGCATATTAAAATTCTATGACACTGGGCCAGGAATTGGCTCAGTGGCACAAGTGCCTGCCTAGCAAATGAAAGGTCCTGAGTTTGATTCCTAGTACAAAAACCAAAAACGAAAACAAAAAAACAATAAAATTCTGACACCTTTGAAAACATAACCTACTCAAAACAGCAAAATATTTATCCATATCACTGTTCATTTTTAAGAAACAAATATTTGTTCATTTGGCACTTAATTCGTTTCAGTTTGACCAAAACTGTGCAGCTTCAAAAACAAAACTTAAGGGTTAAATACAGACATAAAATAAAACCATAGTACATATATATAATTTTAATTTCTTTGGTCTCAAGGTTAAATTATGATTAAGTACAAAATTTCACTTGAAAAAATGCAGGCCAATATAAAAAGCTGTCCCCCTTTCTCCTTAGATTTAAGTTTTGTTAAAAGATAAGCATACTTCTCTGATCTACAAGCACAACTGCAGGAAAAGTAAATTTTTAACTACGTGGGTATGTCGTAAAGAAAATACATATATTCATGCTTTGGCTTTAACTTGAATAATAAGAGGCAACAAAGTTGATAAATAATACTTAGCAAAGTTATTCTATTTTGTTAAAAAATGGGGGGAGGAACAGTCATCTAAATATTCTAAGTATTTAGAAAAACATTTGTAGTGAAAATTACAAGAAGATTAATATTCACTTGGCTGAGGAATACATTTCAGCATAATGAAAATACTTTCCTCAAGATATGAATTCATTCACTGATTTTAAACTTACTGTGCATAAGCCAGATTTATTGTTAAATGGTGCACTTAAGGATTATTTGTTCTGTGTGAAAAAAGAAGTTTAATAATATTCTTACTTAATTCACAATTTCTCAAGTCAGAAGAAGCTGATAGCAAGAGGGCAATTTTAACGGATTAGAAATCAAAATGATAGGCTAAGGTTAAGATATTATTGTAACAAGATCTTCAATGCGGTTGAAGGAAAATGTGGTCAGTTTCCTGATGATTTCTCTTTTTCAGCATCATTCTATATCAGACAAATAACTGTTTTTCTGAAAATGAATATTCTTAAATAAAATGCATAAAATATTTTACGTTGTACATAATATATTTGAAAAATATCTAAAATATGCCAATAAAGATAATTTACCTAAGTTCAGTTGCTTCATTTTTGTTTTCTACAAAGATTTTTATTTTTAAATTTACCTGACAATGTGGCTCAGAAGCTTTCGTCTGTTTTGTTTTTCTTCCAGTACCAGGAATCAAACTCACAACCTTGTGCTTGCTAGGCAGGCGCTTTGCCACTGAGCTAAATCCCCAGCCCTAAGATTTTTATTTTTAAAAACATTGAATTTTTAACAACGTTGAATTGCATGTATGTGATGAGCAGATACAAGTGTGTTTCACTGAGCTTTGCTTATTAAAAGAGGAGTATAACTTTATTTTATTGATTAATCATAAAAACAATAATAAAATAAATCTTAGGAAAAGATAAAACTAGATAAATGTTACAAATTTTGTTCCTAAAATAGTTTATGGTGATGTTCATATGCTATGAAAGAATATCTAATTAAGTATGGTTCTTAAATAATTTTAGAGTGTAAAAAAATCCTAACATGTAGAAAGAGATACAGAGCATAATCATTCAATTCTCCATTTTAACATCAGCTAATCTTGTGGAATATGGAATTGTGTGCAAATTACTTTTTAAATAAGTAACTTAAAACATCTTACTTTTATTGAAGTGCCTGAGATTTTGGCATTTAAAAATAAGTTACAGTTTCACTTAAGAGAAATGTCTATTTCTGTATTGTCTATTTGAGACAGGGTTTCACTTTGCAGTTCAGGATGGCCTGGACCTCACTTTGGAGCCCACGCGGATCTTGAACTCATGGTGATCCTCCTGCCTCAGCCTGCTGAGTGCTGGAATTATAGGCATGTGCCATCATGCCCTGTTTTGGAATGAACTCTTTTAAGTCAAATTAGTTTAGAATATCTTGAATTTATTTATAGCAACTACTAATAAGGAAAATTATGACATTTTTAATGTCTCAAACATTTATATAAAAATCTTGCCTCATTTTTATAATTTAATGTTTTTCTTATAAATCTGCGCAGATTGTTTACTGACTCTAAGCAGTATCAGAGTGAAAAAAAGACCTTTCTCAGTACTAAAGTGTGTACTTGACAAGCCACTTCCATAATTATTTCATGGGATATACAAAAATTAGTTCAAAATATTGCTGGTAATTCTTTAATTTTAATGAAAACTGGATTTAACAACTCATATGTGTTTCTTTTACTGTTTTCCTTACAAAGACATAATACTAATTGGACAAATAAAATTTGATAGCAGTTGTATGTCACATAAAATTTTGATGAGTGTCATTCAAATACAATAATCAAAAGCATAATTTATTTCCTTTAATAGGCTTATATGACAGCTTATAAGGTTACTAGGAGGCATAAAAGGAACAGAAAGAATCACTGAAATGAATCAGTTATAATCTTTTCCTCTATTTGATGCTGACTTCTTTCCCTAAAAGCAAAATTGTACCTAGGATGTGTCTCTATTTTCATTTGCTATTTTTTACAAGTAACATCTTTTGCACAGTGTTAAAGGAGATAAAATTTTTCTTTGTTAGCGTAGTTCATTTGCTGATTCCATGTGTTTCCTTGTTTCATATTCTACTTTGGAGTAAGCATTTCCATTGCCCCTTTCGGCATGTCAGTTACATACTGTTGTGATCAAGTGCAGCCTATCTCACCATGGAATGTGCATGTCAGTCAACTTCTGCTCTCATTCTGATACAGATTTTCATTCCCTAGGCAGAAGTGTGTGATTGGCAGTCTTTTCTCAGCGCATAGATCACATTTTCAGGTTCAAAGATACATTACATATATAGGTCCCAGAGATATAACCAAAAGTGGACAGGTCCTGGTGAGATTTAATTTACCTGTCTTTCTCTCATTCTTTAATTGTTCTCCTACTCTTGTTTTCCATGCTTTCAAAAATAAATACGCAACACACATTATACAATTTACAAGAAAAATAGCTCCTCAAAATTGAAGGCCAAAAATAAACAAGTATTTGTAGATTTTCTTTCCTTCAAAGTGTTACAATCTTTCCTTGTCTGTTAGCAGGTCTTTCAGACATTTAAGAACTTATTTTAGGGATGGTAGCTGACTGGGAACAGAGAGGAGATACAGGGTCGACTTCAGGGAACATGGAAATGCTCTGTGTCAAATTAAAATAAACCACGGTTAACCTGGTTTATCTATCTGTCAAAATATTACTATTAAGATTAATTCATTTAAATATATGCAAATTTTGTCTCAAGAATAAGAACTGTAAGTATATTATAATAACAGTTGAATGGAGAGATGTACAGAGATAAAGATAAAGCAGTCATGGCCAAATGTTGAGATTTTTTAAAACTGGTAATAAGCATATCCTGTCTCTTTACACTATTACGTTTATTTGTATATTAGAAATTTTCTACAATATTTTTAAATTTGTCTAAGAGAAAACATATTATGCATCTCAAAGAATTATTTTCCTAAACATTTTTGCTCAAGCTAGATATTTTTGAGTTTTACATAATTTATCTTTACAAAGTGTGGATTGCAGAACAGCAGTCTAATATTCAGAATTTTGGATGTTTTGTCTACCAAATGTGAAGGTGGGAAAGCATGGCTGATGTAAGTGTAAGAGTGCTGATGCCTACCCCCCCAGGGGAGCACACTTAAAAGCTCTGAGTTACTTCTCTAAGAAAAAGCAGAGTCATCTAGTTTTTACATTCAAATCTTTTCATAAAACATCAGATCTCAGGGAACAGCTTTATATTTGTCTTTCTGAGATTTCTATTACTAGGCCATCCACCTTTATAGCTGCTTTCTGGCTGCTTTTACCCTGGAGTTTTAGAAAGAAAATTCTCTTAAGTGAAGTTTCTAGGGAAGTTGCCTCGTCTCCATGGTGGTTTGAACATACCCTGAGCAGTACATTCAGGAGTATTTTGATTCATTTCCTTTCTTTCATTTTGTGATTTTTATGCCATTTAGACAGACCTGAAAAGCAGACACTTCTACTTTTATAAAGAGAAATCTTTCCCTGGATCCTGAAGTACACTACTATATGAACCAGGCACCCAGTGGGAGCTAGGTTCTTTCTAGTTCACTGCAAGTGATAGGTCACACGAAGAGCAACGAAGGACTTAGATACAGCCTCTCTGCACTGGAAGTGCCATACTTCCCACCTCTGGGAAATATCGCTATGCAGTTCTCTGGCCCCATGCAAAGCAGCAGAGTTCCAGTGTGAACTTCAAGTATTGATGGTTATTTGACAATTGAACTTTGTTATTTACTGTCAGGATTAGTAGAAGTCGTTTATCATGGATCCAATGATAATTTCAATGGGAAAAATAAAGAAGTTCATTCTTAGTCTGCATCACTATTGTTATAGCCTGGATCAGGACTATTTCCCCAAAGGCCACATGGTAAACACTTGGTTACCAGCTTTATGAAATTATTGGGAAGTGATGGAAACATTAGGAGGTATGGTGTAGCTGGAGGAAGTTGGTTGTTATATGTGTGTGGGACCCTGAACTCTGTCTCTCTGTCTGTCTCTCTCTTTCTCTGTCTCTGTCTCTGTCTCTGTCTCTGTCTCTCTCTCTCTCTTTCTTTCTCTGCTTTCCACCTGCTATGAGGTACACAACTCTGCTCAAATATATATTCCGTACAAAGATAATCTTCCTCACCTGGCCCAGAAACAGTGGACCCAAGGCATCGGGGACAGAGACCTCTGAAACTGAATGCAAATCAAATCTTTTTTTCCTTTAAGTTTATTTTCCCAAATATTTTGTCACAAGATGAATAACAGGCTAATACAAAAAGTCAGTGCTTAAAAATGGGATCAGTGCTGTTACTGTACTTGATGAAGCAGTTCAGAGACTATTGAAAATGATTTATTGAAGCAGTTTGGGA